TTCTCCTCGTGGTCGTGCGTCTGTGTGTGTGTGCGTGTGTATGTGTGTCGGTGCTGACCGAGCTCCGTGTTTCAAACTACGTGCACGAAGGGGGGACGTTGGTATTGGGCACCTGTTACAGTGGAAGGAATACCGTTAGGACGTCGTGTCAGCAGCAGGTACCAGCCAGCCTACGGGTACACGCATACATCTTCTCCGATGCGAGCTCCGCAGGCAATCGCAACCGGGCAAAAATCCAGCCGCTTCGACATCATCGGGGCCCGATGTCCACACGCCGCTTACGGAATCGCTACACGCGTTTTATATCTGCTCCGCTAATTCCTCTGTTCAGTCGATTATCTGTTGCGTGCCTGTGTAGCTTGGCTGATGTATTGCGAGATAGGAAATGGATCTCAGGAATTTTTAATCGATGGTTCTTCATTTTGATTCGTGGATTTGTTGGGGTCTTAAGGACCTGTGGTAATTGGGTACGAAGTATGTGTAGAGGTCTTAGTTTGTTGTTGATTTAGGTTGTCTTAATTGAAGCTTCGAGGTGGAGGTTTATGGAGTGTATAGTTAGAGAGGAACCATAAAGGTATCTGAAGAGGATTCTAATTGGTGTTTGTGTTAGATTTTGTAGAAATAAGGTAGAAGGAAGGTAAAAACAGAAGGTAACTTGAGCAAGTTTATATAAGTGGTATATTCATTTTCAAATCAGATAGAACGTATTCTTTAATTTGAATTAAATGAATCAAATAAATAAGGAATTTTCAGATATACAGATTTTATTAATACTTTTGGGAAGGAAAACCTGATATTTTTAAAATCAAATGTGAATACATACTGTTACTAAAATAAAAATTAGTAAATCAAATTAGTAAATTTTTCAAATTAAATTACTTGGATCGGAGATTCTCTCATTCAAATTATTTTGGAAGATTTTGTAATTGGTGTTTCTATAATTTTTTTCCATTCGAATTAATCAATTAAATTAGCAAATATCCATAAATCCCAGTTAGAAACTCTAACCTCGAGGTACGACACGGTCGTTCGTTCTTTTCGCGTTCAATTTCGCGCACGTCAAAGCTCGAACGACTAGAATGAAATAAATTCCTCATGGGTGAAAATCTGTTCATGGTTGTAAGTGTCGTGTAGTTGGTTTTGCTAGCCAAGGCAATTAAATCGCGGATAGATCGAAAGTCATTCGACAGATTTACGACCTTAAGGCAAGCGTACATCAGCTGCTTAGGTAATTATGCGATTTTTCATCGGACACCGATGTTTCCTAGCCGAACGTGCCACTGACCGACTAAAGCCACTTTTCACCGACGACGTCGCTTTTTACAGACACTCGCTATTAATCCCCTCTGGATTTTCGGCTCGATTTAATCTTTTTACGACGACCTTAATAAGCGGCTGCACGGTGCCTTTTAATTCTTCTCGAAAAGTTCGACTCGTGTTTCTCGGGAATCTTTTTTAAAAAGTAGAATCCAAAAATTCAAGATTCGTAATGGCAGCACGAATTATAGTAACTTCATCATTATCATTGTACTATATTTTACAATATCATTATATCAACTATCATTATACTAACTAAAAAATTGGATTACTCTCAATGTTGTTCTATTGGACCTTATGACTGATTGGAAATTATATTTCGACGACGAGTGTGTTTTAATCAAAAGGCCATAAAGAGGAGAGCGTCGAAGCTCGTCTAGGAAAATGGTATTCGTTATATCATTGGCGTTTTACGTGACACGGAGGAAACCCGTTTCGCAACAGGTGTCTCGGGGACACGACTCGATCACGATTTCCACGTTCGTATCTCCATATAAGCGGGGCCTCTGGTCTGTTCGCGATCTGGCACACTTTGCTCACGATCCGCGCTCTCTGTATCGCCGCCTCTCGCGCGCTGATGTATCGCGTGAAACTATCCCGTGCTTGCCAGATTCCGACCGCCGATTAGGACGATTAATTTATCGCCGCACTCGCAAGCTACTTTATCCGCGACCTGTTACTTCGTCCTGTATGCTTTTGCGGATGATTAGCTAAGTAAAAAAGTGGATTCTTTATCGCGTTGAAAGTTCTTGACTGACTGGTTGCTTCCTTTTTAGGAGGGGAAGTCGAATAGAATATTTTTTTACAGAATTTTTGGTTAATTTTAATTTTTTTTTGTTTTTTTTTTTTTTTAAGAAAGTGTCGAATAGAAAATTATGTATAAATTGGGATTGAGAGGTTTTTTCTTTAATAATAATCGCGTGGATTGTTTGGATTACGGGATTGGTGTGTTGGTTATTTATTCAAGAAAAAATATAGCAACACTTAATTCTCATTTTATTTTACAAATCAACCAATTTTCCCAATCCATTCAATTCCAACATAAAGTCTTAAAAAACAATCGATTTTGTTACTCAAAGTATCAGCCTGAAAATTATCGGGGAAAAGTCAGACAAGTCGATGTATAGTAGGTGGAACAAGTTGCAATCTCCTCTCAGGAACCGAAGGATCGTTGATGATATTCAGAAGAATCTCAGGCTCTTTGCCTTTTAACTTTTACCTGGCGCGGCATTCGCGTCCGCGCGGCTCATTGCGCAAAGCGACAGCTCTCTCGAAAGGCTAGCTTTCGTGAACGTTCGTGTTCTCGCGTCCTTTCCTATTTAATAGACGTCACCGAGGTATCACGCCGACGGAGATAACGACGGGAATCAATCTGAACGCGTATCTAGCCGGTCAGCTAGTTGATGAATTCGTGTGCAAATCGACCCTGCGAGAGGTCACACGTATTACAGCGGAATAAAGTTCCGCATTCTCGGCCCACAGCCCGAGGCAGCTGTTAGTCTGCCTCCTCTTTCGGCCTCCTCGTCCCACCGTCACACGTCTCGTGTTCGTGTCTCTTCCAGCTTCTTTTCAAACCTTCGTGACCTCCGCGAACAGATCTGAGAAAGAGACACCTTTGGTTCCTCCTTCTCCTCCTCTTCTTCTTCTTCTTCTTCTTTTTCTTCTTTTCGTCAAGACGACAGGTTGCTTGGTTAAAAAGAAACTGTGAAACTCTCGATTCTTCTTTTTTCCTCTGTGCCTGTATCTTTTACTGGTCCATTGTTCGAGCGTAGCTTTCTACCTCGGGCCACGTTCTATCTTTTGCCTGAAAGGAACGTAAATGATGGTTGAAAACGTATCTGAGCCAAGCCAAGTAATTTGTCTTGAAAACAGACTATTCCATTCCACTATTAGATAGATAAACAATAAAATATGTCGTGAATGTTGGCAATTTCATTTCAATTCTGACAGATCTGGGATCAACACAATCGGATCTCATTGCAGTGTCAACGAAATTCCAAAATGTTTTCTACAACACACATCACAAGAGGATTGCAACTGCCAGTGATCGCAAACGATCGACTGCAAATGCTAATAATAGGTTTGTGGTTTATTTTAGACGACGACTGGGGTGCGCCAGCAGAAGAGAACGATTATCTGCCAGAGGCAGACACGACTGGGACGAGCCTGACGCTGCCAAGATTACCGAGAAGCCCCGAAAGATTGCCCAGCCAGGTGAACAGAGGTGTTTCACCGAGTTGTAACAGAAGCCGTAGAGCGCCGGAGTTTAGGCAGCGGTCGCCTAGTCCCCAGTATCAACCCAGAGTGAATCCTGGAGAAGTGACTAGCCCCAGAGAGAGATTTCAGGATGCTAAGGAGATGTTTCGAGCTATGGAAAGAGAGGCCATTGCCAGGCCTGTTCTCTCGAGGCAGAGAGATGCTGACAATCACCCTGCTCACAGGTATGCTCTTCGCTATTTTTTTCAAAGAGTAGGAAGTGAAAAATAGCATACGATTAACTTTCGTGCCGTGCAATTAATAATTTTCAATTGTAGAAGATATAAAGGAAATACACGTCCATTTGAGCATCTTCTTCAAAGGCTTTAATGAACCTGCCTTTCAAAACCATCGCTATTAGAAAGCTTCGAAATTGAAACAGAAACAGAAAGATCTGTAGATAAAAAAAGTAAAAAGTCGAGGCTTAGATGTCGATTATAGTCAATTAGAAACAACTTTCAGTACCACGAGGCGCTATCTACGGCGAACGTAGATCTCAACGAGTTCGACGTATTCGTTTTCTAATCCAGAGAATCTGCACCGATCCCATTGTAACGTGCCGATTCGACCGGCCACATCTCTCATTTTCTCCCGCGTCCAGACCAGAAAGACTAGTTTTAAAAGGCCACGCGGGTTGTCTTTGCTCTTTACCCTCCGGCTGGCATTCGTTTTGGGCCAGCAATGTCACCGGTGTCAATCTCGTAAAGTAAAAGCTGCCCGACCAGCCACAGAGCGATTCGAAAGCACATGATAGTTGAAAAAAATTTCACGATTGTCTCGCAGATATATGCGAGCTCGGTCCATTGATGCCGACTAGCTAGCCGGCTTCTCATTCAGAACGAGCGAGATCTCATCACGAGGAATATATCTCAATGTTATTCACTGCTCGACTTCCTGCTAACTTTATTCCCATGGAAATGATCGTGTCACTCCGTAACTAGTCGAGTTACATAGAAAGCAAATAGATCAACTTTATTCAGGTTAATGGATTGATTCTTGAAACGTTGGACATTCGTCGTTAGGCTAAAGAGCACTCGTTGCAATATTCCGTACGCGGCGTGCAGCATAATTTAGCGATTTTTAATTACAAAGAAAGTATATATAGCACACGAAATAATCAAAGTAGGATATTTTCATTTAGCCTTCGTTTTTAACGGAAATACGAATTATAGTCGCAGTCTATCGATTACATACATTACATATATTCTGGGCTAGAAAATCGTTGAAGACTGGGGTTGATTGATAGTTTGACTCGTAACGCGACTTTATTCAGGATTCTATTTTTTCAGATTGTTGTCTATGCGCATTGTAGAGTGTACAGAGAAATTGATAGACGTCCCTGTCGATTTATTTCACGAGAAGCGGTTGTCAGAAGTGGCACGTGGCAAGTGGAACGAATTCGGAAGTGGCACATAGTCGTATAATTCTACGAGTGCTTCCAAACGTGTCTAGGAAATTCCAATGTAACAAATTAAACATTATTGTCAAAGTGATCAAATTTATTTGAATAAGCATCCGTAAATGGTCTAAGAAATTTTAATGATAAAGTACTGGTTGTGAGAGTGAAGTATTCAAGTTCAAAGAATTCGTGTGAAGATTTGATTGAGTATACTGCTACACAGAAGTTTGACTGCACGATGGCAAGAAATGTCTGGCTATAAAACGTCATCGAGTTCCACGAATTACAATTCTGTTTGCAATAAGGTTGTATCCCTTATTGCTCATGATGTTGTATAATTTGATTTATTTATAACACTTTAATATTATTATTATTATTATTATGTTTTCAGATTTCTCAAATTTTACCAATATAATTCTGGTACTGACTTGAAAAGATGTTCGAATAATCACTCTATATATAATCACTTTTTACATCAATTAATTTTTGTATTTAATAGGGTTGAGTCATCGAGGCAGAACCACGAGGACCAACCTACTTGTCAGCACTCGACGAGCAACAATTCAACGAGTGGCCACGAACACCTGATCAGACGGAATCATTCGGAGGCATCGGAACGGGAGAACGATATTTCTTACAGGGCTCGACCACGGCCGCGAACCCATCATTATTCGATGGAACGCCCACTGGAGCAAGAGGTCTCGAGGCCTCGGCCGAGAAGTTTCTACGAAAACCCAACCGTTGGAAGAGATTTCCGAGATCAAAGGAACGTCGCTGATCCGAGAGAAGTAAGGGTCATTGATTCCATGCCCTTCTCATCGATCGTTCCTCAAGCTTCTTGCAATGAAAGTATTCTAAAGCTTATCCTTGACACCGTATCATCAAAGATGTATCGTTCAGTCTTCTTTTTTCTTTTTTCAGAGCCCTAAGACGTATGTTTTGATTGTCTAGATTCAATCTACAAGTCTGTTTGAAGATCTTCAATTTTCTGACCCCAAGATTGCTTGTGTCGTCCAACTTTCTCATTTGAATTTGCACTTTCTACGAGCAAGTAATAATCTTGCGCGGAAAGATGCTAATTATTTGTCCCCTGGATAAAGAGGTGAAAGAACTCGTGTGGGTTCTTGCTTCAAGCTACTATGTTATTTGCTTGCGAATTTTACTGTAAATAGTATTGCTCTCTAATATGAGTCTTCTTTGTCTATTATGTGAATTTTTATAGTGAAGAGTGTCATTATTAATTTTTCATTGACGACTCGATTTTTTAGAACAAAGACGTATAACATCGCGCACTATATTGCGTTCTACTTTATTTTCTGTCGAAATATTTACTGATTTTTTTGTATTAACTTCCAACATTACATCTCACATTGTTTGTTGCAATTAGTATCACACTGTTAATTAGTTTCAATTTTCCATTGAGTTAAACTAAACTTGGCTTCCTTCACTCCGGCCAATTACATGTGTTTCTAATATTTTCATTAAATTATTTTATTAAATTATCAAAGTGCTCATCTTCTACCAATTACATTTATGTATTCCACGTCGCATTTCCATACAGTAGAGGCTTAGCACTGCTTCTAAATTGTATGCAGTGCACATTTACTATTATATTATGCATTTCTACGCAACTCCGCTCGACCACCACTTTTATTAGACCTTTATTAAGTTGGAAATGTATGCAGGCATCTTCCACAAATCACGTCTGTTATATTTACGTGTCTATTATTACTTTATACATTTCTTCGCAATTGATCATTACAGTGTGTCAAATACCAAAACCTTATTGTCACTTCTACAATGGATACCAGCTGCTCAACTTTCACCAATTACTTATGCTACATTTATGTATGCATGTCTATCATTCAATTGTACTTCTGCATAATCGTATGTTGCGTCATTGTATGAATTCTCTGCATTCTACGAACTCTATGCGAGCTTGGCTTGTGTCTCGCCGATTCTTTGTCAAAATCTTTGTCAAATTATTTAATAAAATTTTGTTTACAGGCTCGAGATTTCCGCGACCGTGCCCACGTGCGAGAAATACGCGAGAAAGTGCGTGCCAGGGCAACCACGTACCAAGAACTCTCCGAACACGAGAGATATCCAGGTCTAGATCGCGACAGCGCCAGGCCACCCTTGGAAATCGTGCCCGCACCGGGTCGATATCGACACAGCTACGCGGAGCCGCCTAGACTCGGTCTAGCAGCTCTTCATCCGTACTGAGCAGCTGCCCGTTGTTAACTAATAAATTATTTAATCGATTAATTATTTAATCGATCGTATCGTTATTGTATCGTTCACGCGTCTGCAAGCGGTTGTCCGATCGACGATTTTTTCGTAAAGACGTTAAGCTTGGTAATCACAGGGAGCAAATAGAAACCTCATGGCGATGATTCGTAGGGTTTTTGTTGAGAATTTCTTTTATAAATTATGATTCAAAGATATAAGTTATAGCTTTTACGCTTCTGTTTTTAAATAGCAGTGTCTTTTAGGTTTATTCAATTAATGAATCCTTTCAGGACTGAATCTTTTTGCTTTGCAATCTAATTTCAATATAAATTGCATTTATAAATTTTTTTTTACCCATTAAAATTTATTTCAATGGAAATGTGCACACTCCCTAGGAGACGATTTTTTACAAAAGGACATTGCATCGGAAATTAATTTTACTCGACGTAAATACATTTATCGTTAGTAATTTATTAAAGTATATCGTTGTCTTAATATTCAGCGTGAAAGGATTAATTAAAATATTCTAAACATGATATACCATACATATAAATCATAGCTGTGATAATGTTCACTGCCATATTGTATCTCTTTCAGTTAACTTCGTATTACGTTAAAAAAGAAGGGGAAAATATAAATTTCATTCTCCAGAGATTATATCGTAATGATGAAGCTACAAGTCTCGTGTCTTTTTCATTTCAATGGTTTCGTTTGCCCCACTTTTATACATAGATCCAAGGGGATCGTAAATTTTTTTTATCAGACAACGTTATCGACATCCCTGAACCGAGATCGAGCATTTATTATTCTTTCTTGCACCCGTTGCGACAAGATCCTCGAAGTCGTGGGTCTCCTGTTGACCTTTCACTTCTTTCGTACATTGTTATCCGCGCCGGATGCCAGACTAACGATAATGATAGGAACAAGTAACAAGCAGTAACACTGACAGTAACAGTAACAATAATAACGGTTAATAACAAATAAAGATTCTTTTTTTTCTTACCCCTTCTGTGCATCCTTTCGGTCAATTTGTGGCCTCCACTTTGAAAAGATATTTCACACATTTGCGACTTTTTAAGAGTAGCTTAATAGCTAATAGTTTAATTCCCTAGGTTTAATAAAAAAGTTGAGTAATTTTCTAAATAAATTTATATAGTTTTCGTTTTGGGAAAAGAATTTTTTAACTTACAGATATTTTAAGAATAGTCTGAAGCTAGTTTCTCTGTTTAAAAAGTAAATACAAGCATGTAATTCATGAAGATATGCATCCTCTAAATTAATTCGTAACATCCGCTATGCACGATATGGTAATTGAAAATAAATGTTTGCTAGATTAATGACGTTTTAGAGATAAAAAAAATCTTTCAATAGGAGTCTCTCTGTTAATAGGAGATTTTCTGATTTTCTTTCTCTGGTTTAAAAGTGAACGTGAATGTAGTTTACAAGAATGGCGAAGGGACGGTTTGTTAAATAATTCATGGGACAACGTATTCGGAAGAAAAATTTTCATAAATAAATCTCAGAAGATCGTGAAATAAATGTTTCATGAAGACTTGTCTCTGGATAGGTGCATAATCTGCGACGGGTCAACGTGAAATTTTTAGATGTGGTAAAACGTTGATCTTTTGATTTGCAGATTTTCATTCATAACTAGGCTGATCATTGATTAAAAAGTATTTCCTGCTACGTGTTTTAATCTCGCAGCGCTCAATTTGCACGCGAAGTAGGTAATGTGTTTTATGACCCAGCGAATTATAAAAAGCGGTTTGGGTAGAGAAAATGCACGTGCAATTTTCTCCTCTGACGCTTCCGGTAATGCATTTTTTTTTATTGCCGCTATTCATACCATTCTTAACGTTTGCTCTGAAACAACGATCCTTCGAGATGAATTCCTCGAATTCCTTTGCGAATACAGGTTTAATATAATCGCCTGCTTCCGCAAGATTCCACATAAAATTCCTCTTCCTCTGGAATATACATAATATTCCGAAAATAATTTCGACTTCTCTTTTTCTCGAGTTACATTTAATAATTCCAAAAATAAATATTCTTCCCCGCCTAATTTAGATATTTCCACGATCCTCGGATTGCATAAAAATTCCAAAAATAATTGCAATAAAATAAAATATCCCACTTAAAAGGGTTTGATGCCTCTCCATCTAACGAGATGCACCGAGATTCGCGTTTAACGATACGCCATCATTAATTTACCCGTGTATACATTGGTCGTTGTTTTTTTCGTGTGCGTTACACGTCAATTCATTAGCATCGTTTCGAGACGGCACGAAAATTTCTCTGATAAGCGGCTGGCACACGTCCACCAGCTGGATCACGTACTTACGGTGGCTCGTTAAATTGCTTTTATGGTTAACGGAGCAGGAAGTGGCCGGTTTGCATTGTTTCACTGTCTATAGTTATTGTACGAATAATAAACGAATAGAAAGTCTTTCGTGCTAGAGCCACGAGTAAATCTCTGGCTCGTCCGCTCTATTTTCTTTCTTTCTTTTTTTTTCAGCGACGAATTCGATTGCTGAATCTTCTCATTGTCGCGTGGAAAAATTAGAAATTTTCCGAAATTACAGTCTCGTCTCTGTTAAGAAAATTTCTAACTTCTTTTGAAGATCGAGAGAATGAGAATTTTTGCCAATTTTTCAGAACTATTCTGGATGATGTTGTGCCAGTGATTTTGTTCATCAACCAAGAGCGTTCGTAATGATCGTGATTCAAAGTAACCACCGAGTTGCGCGGGAGCAGCCGTGCCTACCGCAGAAGCCAGATCCAGCTTACTCCCGATTTCTAATACGTCGTGGTTTTCCTTGCTTCTCGATGGAATTTCGCAAGTTTCAGCCAGCTTGTTACATAAAATATACACTGCAAACCTAAAGCACCGAAATGTAAGGGAGACCTCAGCTCACTGTCAAGATATTTCAATTCCTTCCTCGAGGTCCTTTATTTTTATCTTACTAGAAATGAGTTACAAACCAAAATGAGTATTAGAATCTCTAGAATGAAGAAAGAATCAGCAACCGATGTCTTTCATGTTTTAAAAATAATCATTCATCGAATAGTACCATTTACCTTTTTTTTTTTTTTTTTTTTTTTAATATTCTATCTCCTAAAATCGAAGAATATATAAAGACTATAGTACGTTCTTGGAAAGCATTTTAAGCGTATTTTCGATGATGATGAACTAGAAATGTTCGAGGGAATCGCGAGCCAGACCGTTATAGCGGAGACGTGGGGAACGGTATCGTGCAGTAAAGTCCGTAATTGGGCAATGAAATTCGCGCGTCTGGATGGAATTCAGAAATTTGATTACCGTTGCCAGAGAGCGGTGACGCATTCTGAACGGAGTGACACCTTGGCCTTGAGAAACGAGCGAGGACAACCGCGTGTTTAGATGGAATGCGAGAAAAGAAACGAAACCTTGATTGAGCTTGAGGGAAAAGTGACGAATCAACAGCGCGGAAACGCTGGCAAAAGGAAACAGCATCTTCGTTGATTTTACCTGAAAACGCAAAGAGAAAGTTCTCTGTATTTTGGAGGATCTACGCCATTTAAAAATGTAAACAAGTGCCATTTTTGAACAACGCGGAAGAATCTTTAACCTTTTCGTAGTTAATCTTTCAAATTTATTTCGAATATTGATTAAAGATTAGAAGGTAAAGATCGCAAATGTAAAAATCCTGGAGAAATTCATAAATTTAAATTACACGAACATTTGTATTAAATGACAACTTTGCAAAAGTTTCAGTAAAATTGCATTCACTTGGATATAATAAAGTAACACTTGCAAACACCTGTAAAGAACTTGCTTGTAAAATAATGTTGAACTCTTCACAAGTAATCTTCAAAGAAATGCTGATCGAATGTCGTTTCTCACAGTTACGAGGCTACTTTGACGTTTAAAGTTGCAACACGTAGAGGTACGGCTGGTCGCGGGCCGTGAGAGAAATAGATTTACGGATTAAAAGAAACGGAGATTGTCTATGTATCATGGACATGTACATGGAACAAAGTGAAGTCCCCCTCTCCCGTAAAGAGAGACCTGGAACTTACGAACCTGCTCGCTTCTCTCGATGGCAGTGACCTGTTACAGGAGGTCTCTCTCACGGGGCCTCAAGCTTTATGCTCACGTGCGATCTCCTGGTTAAATGCCAGGCCATTGTGCAGCCAAGAAATTCGTCTGTCGATGTTATTGTTCGCCATTACGCGAACTTAACCGCGAGAAAACTGGCGAGGAAACTGGGCGACGCCAGTCGATTCCATTCGAGCGAATCGACTTTCTTACCTTTTACTTTTGTCGTAGACTGGTCATTAATGTAATAAAATAATAAAGGAAGAAATACAGAAATGCAGAATGCTCTCGAGAATAAGCAACGCAAGGGAGATCAGAATGAAAAAAATGTGTCGTGTTGCGAAAAATAGAGAAAGTTTCTATGGAGAAGTTATAAACGAATCATCTTGATTACCGTTCGAAGAGCATCCATGAGAAACAATTAACTACATTTCCTTTTGACTTTAATTAGTGGCGACGCGACGTTTTAATTGCCTCGCGGTGGCCAAACGTAACGCGAACAAAGGTGGATTATATTCATAACTGCGGCGCGAATGCCGCAGGTGAAACTAGAAAAATTCTTTCAGGTACGCGCATCGGGAGCAACGGGAACTTCCGACACGGAATATCCGCTTTTCCGTCACGTAGACCTTGTGCCTTTAGATAGCCACCGGGTCGTAGGCTTGCAATACACCGACATGACTATTGATGGCAGAGGCCGACGCATGAAACTCATGCGAAAGCAGCGTTGAATGACGTGCACCTCGAACCTATGGGTGCTTCGAGGAATATCATTCGGATTCTTTTTGCGATTTTCTCGGGGGCCTGTGCATCAAATCGTGCTCGTTCCACGAGTCTGCTCCGAATCCTAGAAATGGTCAGCCTTCGCACATGCCAGTTTGGACATTTACTTTTGTGTGTACACTATACGTATACACTGTGTATATTTACGCAAATGAAATATTACGCATCGTTTATATATTTAAACAATATAGCCAATTTTCACTGTATTCAACTTTTGGATATTTTATATCAGAGTTTCTTTATAAAATGCATAGCAAGTGAGAAGTCCTACTAATTTGCAGACAAATTTTCCAAGGATATTTAATTTAATCCTTCAAGAAGTTCAGAAACTTCTTATTAAAAGGGAGGAGTAGGCAAATTTTGAATTGCGTCTGGGAAGCTTCTTTCTCAGATATATTGAACATTTTGCTTCTCGGAATTAATGTTTCTCTTCTACTCATGTGCACAGTTCTTGAAACATTCTTGAAAGACGATCAAGAATGTTCGGTGTAGGTATGCTAGTACATGTTAACGAAGGGTTAATTAGTGGAAGGAATGTTCAATAGATCGACACCCGTTAGATTGGCAGGGGAACAGCGTCTTAAGTCGGTCGCATTAGTAAAAGTGAACTGCTATAGAGCAACACACCTCGTCTCTCGCCTTCCGTTATTCTAATCGCGTTGGAGATTTCAATGCGCGCGTAAGCTATCGATACGGCGCAGTCCATAGATTGAGTCTTATGGCTGAGTGAGAATGTTCTTATTATACAAATTGCGCATACATGTTGTAAAGATTTTAGAGATACAAAAAATATATATACAATATTCAAAATGTGTGCTACTCGCTGTGACATTTATTGGCAACAAATCTCTGTGGTTAAATTAAATTTTCTTTAGTTACAATGACGTGTCTGATTATCAGTGCTCTGAAAAGTAAATAATTAAATGGAACTATAAAACATATCACAAAACGAAGGAATTTAATTTCTGAATCTGCATCTTTTTGAACTTTCGATTCATTTCTACGACTTTATATTCGATTTTACGACAAAGCGGAGAAAGTTTCGTAAGAATCGAATATTTTCCCAGACAAGACGCAAGACATTCCAGAGGTAATTGCATTTGTTAGCGGAAATGATTCGCTGTTTCTTGAGTCGCGCTTTCAACGCGAATCGAACGTTAACCAAACCATCTTAATTACACTCGACTCGCTTCACCACTGGTCGGCTGGCCACGTAACCGGAAGAGCGTCGATTACGTCAACGCCACCCCTATTTTTACGTTTCGAAGGACTTTCTCGCAGACTGGAAAACCGGGGCTTCTTGGTGTTGGGAAACGATGACACGAGATGGAAAGTACGAAGTGTACGAAATGGTAAAAATTCTTACGTGCGTCTCGCATAGCCTTAGGCTTATTTGCATAGAACTTTCGAAGGCTCTTCGACACGAGGCGTACGTAGAAAGCAGTTAAGATCGTCGACGTGCCATTACAGACGATTGATATACGGCATGTGACAGCGCTGAATTTCAAGGAAATCGTTCAGAGATTGTTCAGAGATGTTTAGTCGATGAGATAATTTGATTATGAAACAGTAGGAAGAGAATTTATTTTGGCAGAAAAGATTCGATAAAGAAAATATTGGATTAAATGTGGTTTCAGTTGGAACTAGACTAGAATAGATTCAGGTCAGATTTTGATTAGGTTGCACTAGGGCTGTCAGGGCAAAGGCCACGGTTCACCGTGACTGATTCATGTGAGCTCTTTGGTGGTAGCATATTCACGAACTCGAGACACTGTTTCACCAGTGACGAAAGTTACTCAAAAAGGCCCTTACTCAAATAGTTTCATTACACGATAATCGTTAACTGATCTCTACGATAAAAGTCTGGTGTCAAACTCTGGTGTTAATAGCTAAATGTCGATTAGAATTAGGTCCTGTAAGTAACAAACCAGATTTTAATGTCTTCTCGACTTTGTCACAGGTCGTCAGGTGTGAACAAACGAATTTAAAAGTACACCGCGAAACGCTTGGGCCGCGGATACTTTTCATGAAAGAAAGGGTATTTTTCTTTTTATCAGAGTACCGTGACTCGAATCGTTAACAGAGAGATTATTAGATTTCCAGACAGGATTCTCCGCATATCTCGCGACTTTTCTTCAACCCAGAGTGCAGTTAGAACATACCGCGCTGGATCATTCCATTCCATTAATTCTCTCTTTTGATGTTCCACTTGAAATTACATCTCTCTCACCGATTAATATTAACTGTACCACTTTTTCACGGGGCTCTGCTAAAAAAGAAAAAAAAATGTTAATTTTTTATCTGTCAGAAACTGTTAAATTTTTATCTATCAGATTGTTGGATCGTGTAAAGATCATTGATCGCGATCATTCTCACCAGCAATTAAACGAAGGAGAAAGTCGTGGATCTTTTTAAAAAACGTTCTTGGCGAAATTCGAAACGGTGTATAACCGTTTTATACCGGAAGCTTAAGACTCTGTTATGCACCGACGCGTCACGGCGTTTAGAATATGTTGACCGATATTCCTCCTAGTCACGGGAGGGCTTTTTGTCGAAGGCTCGAGCCGATCTCAACGGTGATTTGAAAAACGTGTCAGCGTTCCTCGAAAAGATTGCAATATCATTCGTAATGTCGTAATTCTTCTTTCTCTCTATTATACATTACAGTTACGCTATCGTAAGCATTTAGACGCTAACGAAAGCAGACTCATCATACCTTCTTCTGGTGGTTTTTTTTTTTTCAATCGATTCTATTATCTGTTTGTCGATATCTATTAAATTAGAATAAACCTAGAGATCAAACTTAGAACATAAAATTTCATTTTTAAATTGTATTTTATGTATTCGTAACAATTTGAATGTGTCCAAATACTACCAAATGTGGGCAGTACTATACTTACGCGAAGTAGTTTAAAAATGTTTACAAAGGTGATCTATCTAATTTGCAAGCGTGCAATGAAAAATACAAAACGTCGCACGGTGGGTTTTGAAGGAAAAAGGAAACGAGTAAGTAGTGACCTAACACTAACGTCGTTAACCCGGACAAAGAGAAAGAAGATTGCCAAGTACATATCTTAAAAGCTTTCCCCGGCTATCCCAAGACCGGTATTGCTCCTTTACCGGAAGTATAAGTGGGATTTCTTTGTAACTCTCTGGTAAAATCGTTTGTCACGATTCTGGTTATCCGGCTACCATTATTCGCAATTATTCAGGCATTCTACCTTTAATTTGCCAATAAATATTCTGTTCAGCGAAGTGTGTGTTAAACGAATACCACGAACAATTTTTATGAATGACATCAGGATGCTATAACGAAAGCAATTGCGCTAAAACGATCGTAATTTATTCTCCTCGGATAAATATTAGAATATTTATTCCTCTTATTAGGGAAAGTTGGTTCATAGTTTCACACATGTAGCGCGTAAAATATACAATTAATTTGATACCGTTACTATCGTGTTTTGAGTCTCATTGAATGGAAATTTAATTTTCTCGAAATGGACACACTCGTTTGAATGTAATTGCGAAAATTAAAAATTAAAACCTGATAAGATTTCGTTGTGTTCTGTTATTAGGCTGTGCACACGTCATCGTACTTAAATTTTAATAGAAAAGATGTTTGATTGATTTTCAGGCGATGATTGATTTTAAAAATTGCAATTTACGCGAGAGAAACGTTCAACAAAGCGTTTCATTTCCATGCTGACGTTGTTGAAAATGGCGAGGAGGAGAGATAAAGGAGAGAGAGAAAGAGAGAAGAGAATTCCTGTACAAGGAGGTGATTGCTCGAGGTGCATACAGCCTCTGGATTCCTCATAATTAACGTGACAACGACCCACTGACCCACTCGATCGTCGATTTCAGGAACCTTCAAAACGTCAGGGTGTAATCCACTCGCTGCTCTGCAATAAATTCACTCGACTTTCATATTTTTCATATATCCACGATCTTTTCATCCGCGACTCGAACTAAATTAAACTAAAAATAAAACTTCCAAAAAAAGAAAAAAAAGAAATTGAACTTCTCTGTTAGATAAAAATTTAATTATGCTGCAAAGAAAATTTATTTCCTTTGAAAAATAGTCTCAAGCTCTTAAAAAAAGAAAGTTTAAAGAATCCGTAATTTACTGGCCGATAAAATGTGCAAACATGGGACAGAAAAAAGTGTGAGGTTCGAGTTTAGATAAAATCGATAGGAAGATCGTAAAATATACATATAGGTATCGAGTTAACGATTTACATCAATTTCAAGGATCATCCTTTCAAGGATCTTTCACGGTTGTAAATATGCGAACGATGTTGGATCCTCTTATTTGCATACTAATGCTCCAGTCTCGATTCGCATGTGTTTTGGACGGTCTGTTCTGTTTCTTTCTTTTTTTTATACACTTTGAGACGAAGTAGAGGTTTGAAAATATTTCTGGTATTTTAATTCTCTGCAATTTTATTTTTTAATTATAAAAGTCCGCTGCATTCTATCGAAGTTATTTTGAAGTTTCTTCAGATCGATGCAAGGTTAATCTAAATTCTCATTCTGAAACATTTTTTTCTATTAGAAAGTTTTCACGCAGATGTGAAGTTGAAAATTTTTTTATCTGACGCTCACGCAAGATATAATTAAGAAACACTTTATTGTAGAACAATTTAGTCTACAAGTAATGGTTATGTATCTACATAATTATTATTTAGAACAATCCAGTAATATTATGCTTGGATGGTTGAAATTTATTTTCCAGTCGTTTTGTCTATTATAACTTCAAATATAATAAAAATGAAAAATATTCCTTCTAGTGAAGACTGAAACGATCGAGTGGAAAAAACGTAGCTATTAAGAATCCTGATTGCAGCGCCATACGTAGACCATGCGTAATTCCAGTTGGAATTTCCGGTGTGGAAGAGCTGTTTCCCTCGCAATTTTTACGTCTTCCCCTTGGATTAAGAGCGGACGACATTTTCCATGTAATTAGTCGGCAGTGCAGGAAGTGGCGAGGAATCGTGGAACGCGAGATTATCAATCGTGAAGCCAGAAAACGTGGAATCAGGGTCGCGTGACCGAAGACCCTGACCGTGGCCCATTCGCACTGTGAAATTTCGTACTGCAGAACGTAAAGTTGAAGAACCCACATGAAACAAAAAAATCACAGATCGCGAGGAGAATCAATAAATTTTTACAGAACAACAACAATATAGGATTTAACAACCAAATTTTTACGTTCGTGCTTGATCCGATAATCAGATGAAAAGATAATTTTATTGACAATTTCAAAACTGCTCTCGTACTGGAATATGGAAAATAAAAATGTGTGACCTACGTAAGTTTTTGCTAACGAGGCATTTCACGGGCAAATAAACGAGAAGAAAAGAAAACTAATTAACTTTCATTTGATTTAGAATTGATTAGAGATAAAAGTGAAGTCAATGAATTGTTCTCGCCAGCGAGTGTAATTAACGTTTCTTATCGTGAGTTATTGGACTGCGAAAATTTCAGATTGCTGAATGTAAATGTTGTTCGAGTTAGAGGGAGGAAAAAATGTTGACAATGAAAGATGTAGTATGATTTATAGTAATTGAAAAAGTGCGAGATAGAAGTTATTCGATCGTGAAAGGGGGAGAGTATTTTAAAGCTATGTACGCGTAGACGTGATTAATTACGAATATACTACTCACGCGAAGCTTTGCATGATGTTTCTTCTTTGGAACTAATGGCAGTTCGTTTCAAACAAATGTTGTTTAATATCTCTTATAACAGCTCTCTTTTATTTAATTAAAAATTTGATCTTCTTCGAGAGGTAAAATTCATGAAGTGCATGAAAAATTATGGAAATATTTCCATTTAATTACAGAATAACATACATATAAATATAAATCTCAAATATACACACAAATGTAAATGTTGCAGATTCTGAAGGAAAGATCGAACTAATTTCACACGTTTCAAAATTTCCCGCCAACTCAAGAAGCAAGAAAGGAAGCTTCTTAAAATCAGCTTCTAGAAATTTGAAATTTAGTGATATAAATTTTCAACAATTTTTAAATCAATGCTCCTACCATGACCACACTTTTTACACATAATCAGTGGACTTGCTTTCAAGTAAAATATCTCGCAGATAAAATGACAAACGAAGGAGGAGTGATCAGGGACACTTTGACACCTACACGTAAGATCAGAGAGACCGATTTGCCCTTTATAGGTCAGAGACTACGCGGCTACCGTGAACAAGATGTAACGCTTACGATTCTCTTTTGACAGAGGCCGATTCGAGGTCTCCAGGTCGAGTCGTCTGGATGCCCGCTCCGCTTCGCAGCTCGTCGCGTGGCCACGAAGGCGAAATCGCGAATATTTATTGCGCAACAGCACGAATCGAACGCGCGTTAACACGTGGAAAAAAGGAACGCGCCTGTGAAAATTGAGTCATTAACGTTTAATCGCAACACACCGTTTCCTAATGCCTTTCGTTATCGTACCTATTCTCCGTTTCCAAAGAATTTATTGCACGAACTTTCCTCCAGAAAGTTGTATCTCGTAGAGGTTCAATATAAAATTCTTAGTACGTTTTCGTCGACAAAGTGAACAGTTCGAGTCGCGAATCACGATGATTCCTCAGTAGAAATATATGGAAATATATAGTTTGGAGGAGAATTCCAAAGTTCAAACGTCGATGCTTAAATCTTCTCGCGAGATATATAGCTGCGACGGGCGACTGCTTCGCTAAATATTTATGAATGCTATGTTCATGAATTCGATTGCAACGTTTTGTATCGTTTTCACGGACAATCAGTGTTAACCCTTTGCCTGCGTTTTTTATCCGTAAATCACAGTGTTTAAATATTCTGTTAGTTTTCAAGAGTCTTCTTCGCGACGTAGAAACCGTGTCACCAATAAACGCACGTTCACAATTTTTTACCGCAAGATCATTGTAATACCGTTTAAATTTATAAAGGTGAATTTTTAGGTGAATTAAAGTGAACTTTTTGTAATTTCGTATGAGGTTACGTAATTTGTCTTATACTCTTCATTTTAATTTCTTTTATTCTCTTCTGTGATGACCTTTGTCGACTGAATGGAATTTATAACTTCGCAATTCAAAATTAATAATTAATTCTCAGATCATCGGAATTCCTTCGACTCATCTCGAAGCACACTACACCACAACTACATATCTCTCTATCTTCTTAAAATTCTTCTTCTAGTGTTATAAAAGATTCTTCTCTCTCATTTTGACCTTATTGGTATAATTTTCATTTTCCTCGATTCGTCGATATTCCTGTTATAAATTGCGACTGATCTTAATTAATCTCTCTATCACAAGTTCCTGCAGCTTCCTCCAGACAGCTCGGAACAAATACTATTGATTGCTGAATACACTCGATCCTGCGAAAAAGAAGCGAAACGATAGGAAGAGAAGATTTTCCTCGGCACAGTTCCAGACACCCCATCGGGCGAAGGGTTCCCGAGACAGGTACTTTGTCCAGGGAGTGCCTCTCCCGAGGCAGAAAAGCGTCAGAAAGAGAAGCAGAAGGAGAAGAAGGAAGAAGAGAGAAAGAGGAAAAAGAAAGAGAGAAGGGGCCTGGCGGTCGGAATAGTGGGGCCCAGTCGGTCGGAGTCACACGCCTTCCGTCAGTCCTCAGTCCGACGAGAAGCGTACAAGCGTTAACAGCTCGCTAGTCCACTCTCACCTTTTCTTCGTGCCTGTCTCCTCGCCAAAAACTTCGCCGTGGAACACCGACCATCGCCATTCTTCTATTGTTTTTAATATACCGGTACGACTGTTCGCGAGCCATAAACAAGGAAGGAAATCCATCAAAGTGGGAATCAGTCGCCGAGTGAACGTGACTGCAACGCCATCTACGTGGAGGACCGAGCAGTAGTAGCGAAGAGGATCGAAATAATCGTCGAAAGTTCGGTTAAAAATATCGTGTGAACGTAACCGGAACACAGGCACGCGTATATTGGAGCGTTTATTCCGAGGTGCTTCCGAGGTGCCGATGAGACATAGAGGGACGTCAAAAGCGACGGCCTGCGTGGCTGACGAGGCCTGTCGGCCGCGCCTCTGGATTCCAACGGCGGCGACACACTCAGCGGGCCCGTTCGATCGCCGGTGAGCATTCCCTCGGCGAAGAGAGTGTGTAACCTGTCGGTGGATCGGTACACGTGGTGGTGAGGGGCGACCAGGAGGACGTAGACGCCACTGGTGCACACCGCATACCACAGGAGGACCTGGCCTGCACGACTGGTAGAGAGAAAGGAGGGAGAAGAAGAATCAAGGTGGGAGGGGAATTGAAAAAGGTTGGTAAGACTCGGGCCGCAGTGTGTCGGAGGAAAGAAAAACGAACGGACCCAAAGGAGGAGAAGGCCAGATAGAAGAGGAGACACGGCAAGGTAGAGCTAGCTGGTGGGGAAGCCGTCAGAAGGCGGCCATAATGGCCTGACGCGATCTCTCGCGAGCGGCGGCTACAGCTGCTGCGAAATAGCCGAGAGCGGCTCTCTCGTCCACGCACGCGTATTTTGCAACCCGGGCTGCGTCTTTGGAAAGTGACTGCGTAATCGCGAGTGGAGTGTATCACCGGGTGGAGTCCTCCGCAACGTTGTTCCGTGTGCACATTACGATCGTGTGTGTTCGAATTCGATCGAATCGAAAATAGTTACATTGGTGTTCGATGATTCGACGGTTCTGGATGGTTGCTAACTTCCTCATCGTCGGCTGTATTATTACGTCTCCATCGAGATCCCTCTTTTGAGATTATCCTCGATAGAAGAGGATAATAAATCTTCGTTGCGCGGACGAAGCAAGACCAGGATTGGATTCTGGACAAGCTGACCTCATCGAATACGAAAATGAGAGGCGCCAACCAGGACACAGCGACGCCGTACTGTCGTTGCAGAGTCCTTTATCTAGGTAGCTCGGTACCCCACGCGAGCAAGGAGGGTTTGCTCGGAGTCCAAGAACCTTTGAGAGAACTGTATCCAGAACAAGGTGCCTTGGGAGCACGTGGATTGGACTCCTGGCTGAGCGTCTGGAGCAACGGCCTGTTGCTGGAGAACGTGGACGAGCACCGCAAGAAGGTCACCAGGTTCTTCCCTATCGAGGCTCTGCACTACTGCGCGGCAGTGAGGCACGTCAAAGGCGGAAGTGGCGACGCCTCGAACACGAGGTTCCTCCCGTTGGACTCTCCTTTCGCTAGAACACCGAGTGCCAATCATCCGCCGCTCTTCGCCGCGGTTCTGCGACGAACCACGGGCATCAAGGTTCTCGAGTGTCACGCGTTCATATGCAAACGCGACATGGCGGCCAACGCCCTGGTCAGGTGTTGCTTTCACGCGTACGCGGACAGTAGCTACGCCAAGGGTCTTGATCCTTCCACCACCACCACCACCACCACGACTAACGGAGTCGCCGGTGGACACCCTTCGAACAACAGCCTCTATCACACCCTTGGTGGCTCTAGTACAACTCTTGACAGTCCTCAAGCGACTCGTTTGGACGCCACTTCGACAGACGACCTCAGTTTGTACAATGGAGACGAGAATCACAAGGTCTGGGCCAGAGGTCGAGACGAGGTGGACGGTCTGTATCAAGAACAAGGCACTTTGAGGAGCACCAAAGGGTCCAGACCTCGTCAATTGGTCGCTCCGCCTCCTCCACCGCCTCCACCGCCACCACCATCTCAGCCTTTGCTCCTCGAAGAATCTTCCTCTTCCTCGGTTCGCAGAAAGGCGAACAAGAAGCTGAAAAAGATCAAAAACCGATCTGTCCACGAAGATCCTTTGCAACAGGCTCACCTTCATCCTCAGTTGCATCAAGGAATGTACACCAACGGCCACGGACACCATACTCTGGGTCACCCGGTGAGGCAACAGCACTATCATCCTCATCCTTTGCCACCGAGCAGCCGATCAGTCGCAGGGACTTTAGCTAGACCAGCGCCAGTGTTGTTAGTGCCCGCTGCAACTTTACCCAGGAAGGCTCACCACCATCCTAAAGGGCTCCGACCGATCCCAGCGGCCGCTCCAATCGTTCCGGTGTACGCTCCACTGCCTGTAGTCCCTCCTCCACCGGCTGCGGCCATCTATCCAGCTGGAACTTACGGGACAGCCGGGAACAGAGGCAGAAGACAGCATCCTGAAGCGGATTCTTCGACTCTGGGAGCATCCAGAAGACTGGCTGCCTCTCACGCGGATCTTACTGCCGCAGAGATGAACAGAGTCCAGTCCGACAGTCCGGAGAACGAATCGCGTTTCGGAACTGGAATCTACCGAAGGAAGGGCCACCTGAACGAAAGAGCATTTTCATACAGCATCCGGGCGGAGCATCGTAGCAGAAGTCACGGAAGTTTGGCCTCGCTAGGCTTCAGCGCTCAGAATGGCAACGCGTTGCCCAAAGAAGAGAAGAAGGACAGAGAAATTGCTCAATTGGTGGCTGGTTTGAACCTGGACGACAGCCCGGACAGGCCGCAGCCGATACCAGTTAACTCGAGGAGCGGTTATTCGCATCATCAGCAACAGATCCAGCCTCTGCCCAGGCCACGACCTCGTTAGAAACTTCCTCGAATTCTTGCTGTAGCCGCGAGAGTTCATCGATCAGTCAAGTCTGAAGCAATCGGCCCGATATGAAGATTTAAATTCTGGTTAACGAAGACGCGTTGTTGCTTCATGATAAAATGTGGAGAAAGTCGTTCCAGACCGGCCCATTTAATCAGAGACGAGACGACGAGTGTAAGGGGAAAGAAAGAAGAAAAGGAACAACTTGGACCGATTGTCTTTCCGTTTATCGTATAAGAAAAGTAATATGTGTTGTTCGTTGTTTCGGTAGATTGAAAGTCGAGACTCGTTTCCTAGGGTCTATGGACTGTTAATCGAGGCGCTAGTTTGCAGGGCAGAAGGTTGATTCGTGATTGCAGCGTGGAAAATCGCGATGGGTGGTCCGACTGGTTCAGTTGGCTTTCGTTTCTCGGAAGCGACCTTTCCCGAGTAGGAAAATTACGGACAGGCAAAAAGCTGAAACACCGAGCCTCATCTTCGCCGCGCTGGTTTCTACCTGTGACCTCGATAGTCTTATCTCGAGAGTCGATCGCCTTTGTCGAATTAAGAACTTCGATCGTGGGATACGTTGAGTAGAAATCCGTTTCTAATAGGCTGGATTTTAGAGTATTCTTACTTTAGATTTCTTCAACTTTTGCAGCATCTAAACCCGATCGTTTTCGGTCTTTTGTTTCTCTAAATTCTTTAAATTGACAGAGGTCTGGAATTTTTTTTTTGCCCCGGTGAGCGGAAGAGACGGCGACGTAACATTTTCGCGACTTTTCTGTCACGAAACGAAGATTAATTGGACGAGCTTCAATTATTGTCACCCGACCACAAAGATCGTTCTAATGGCTGGAGTTTGTTAGACACAGACACGCAATCTCGTAATACTTCCTTCGAGAAAATAATAGTTAAAAATAATAATATTGTCTGGTCCCCGTGAATCGTTCAAAATTTTTTGAAACTCTGAAACATGAAATTTTATTTATAATTCTCAAAATATCAGTTAAATCAGTTTCTCTTCTGTTTCGTTGTAATTCTTTAATTAATTTGATTGAAACTTCCTCGTTGATAGTGAACAATTTACCGTGTTCCGTGAACTATCGAAAAACAGTATCAGACAGTTTTCCTCTAGAAAAGTCAACGCGACGGGTTTGAATTCCCGACGCATGAATTACAGCCGGTTTGCTTCGTGAGAACGTGAACGTTAATCTTAATTGCGTGAGAAAAAATTATGCGGCACGTAGGGAAAAGAAGCGGGGGTCTTTCGAGAGTCTTAGGAAAGAGAGGGCTTCGCATTTCACCGCCTTTCTTTCATTCAATGCTTCAGAAAGGAAGCAAAATAATTAAAACGCTTAGAAGTCACGTTGATAAACCTTCTACAAATTAAAATAAAGGGAAAAATTCATCATAAAACATTCATATTCTTCTCTAAATTAGTATACGCAAAAAGGCTTCACACAGCGAAATTAAAGAATTTCATCAAACCACGTCTGCCAAAAAGATTTGTGTTCAAAATCTTCCCATTCTTTCTACGCGAATTTATATCAGAAATTTATGTGAATCTACCAAGAAGTAAACAGAAACATAATAATTGATGAATATCACTTTCACGGGAAATCAGGTTTCGTAAGTGTGATTAATCGCGAATCGGCTTTGTAGCGCCAGCCTCAAATCCGATTACAATTAATTACACTAATTAATCGGGTCTATGAAATATCCCATGCAAACGCATGATAATTAATTGTTTTAATCGTTTGCGTGGAATTCGCTTCTTAATTTTTTGTTTTACTTGAAAATGAATGAGGGAGCGGCAAACGTTTGCACGAAGCTCACACCGTGTTTCTTCGATGCACAACTCTGTTCTTCCACGAAAAACCAAAAAAAAAAAAGAAAAAAAAAGACACACAAGCGACGATGAACGATTATTTAATAACCATGGAGACATCGAGATTACTTAAGCATAACAGTTCGACGCGAGTTCGCGTAATCGCGTGCGGAATCACGCGTTCATGTGAACGAAATCTGGGAAGCCGGCAGATGTAATCTCGAGTGTAATCTTGCTGTGCAATAATATCACCGGCGCAATATTATTACGAAGCTGGCAAACACGTTCCGGACAATTAACCTGATGATGGTAATTAGAACGCGATCTAATCGCGGGGAAAAATTCGCGGGACCTTTGTCTCGCTACTTTTGCTAGGAAATTGAAAAATCATCGATCTTCACAGTCTGTAAATATTAACGGAATATTAACGTTAGAAAATTTGCCAAGCTTAGGTGATAATTTCAAAAGTAGTTTACTATTTTCTGTGCTCGCGAATCATATAAATAGAAATACGTAGCGATCGTTTTTTTCTAGAGAGATGATAAACAGATGATATATGGATCGATAAAGTCGATTACTTTTTAATTAAGATAAATGCTTCTCCCACTGGAAGGATTACACGAAGGAATTCGAAGCTCATTTAACTCCATCGATAAAAGGCAAAAAAAAAAAAAAAAAAAAAAGAAATGAGTTAACTATCTGAAACTTTTATGACTTAATTCAGAGACGCATGTTTGCTCAGGTACCGAGCATGCCTGTGTTTCGAAACTGGTTACAGATACCTCTCGTACGTACGGACGTTCCTATCGTCGCGTATGCATAATGCATATACATACATGCAATTAGACTCGATCATTATCGATCGGTGATTGATGTCAGGTTAGCTATGCGTGCCACCGCACATTCCATCTCGTTCGACGTGAATTTTTTTTCTCTCAGTTGTCTCTCGTTCATTCCGTTTCGAAAAAATAATTTCCATCTAATATATGAAAATTTCAGACACATTCCTGTTTCAAACACAGCTCATTCCTTTGAGAATATTCTAAATTTATTTCTCCGTAAGGTTTGTTGCACCAAGAATCTGAACACAATTTTTTACAATTTCTTCTCAGTCTACGAACTTCTCACAGCCCCCTCGAGTCGAGCTATACTTTCTTCAACTTCTCTTCGTTTCGAGGACGTCAATTGTCTGTCTATAAAAGACCGTTCGAAGGAAAAACGATTGTAAAAATTACAATGTACATCTCGCGTTCCTGTCGACGTTGCTTTCTTGCCGGACGAGATTGCACAGGAACGAGAAAAAGAACGGCGTATAAACTTGGTTAATGATCGGCGAACGGACGTATGCAAATGAACGGGTAACGTCCGAGCATTGCTTGGAAGCGTGTCTTTTTATCGCTCGCGCTTCATCGATCGCATTGATCGGCTCGGTGAAAAGTGTCGTTTCGATTTCGTAACGAGTTTCTCCGTTCTCATGACACGTAACTCGCGACGATTGCATTGAAATGAAATACAAAAAAAAAAAAGAAGAAGGAAAAAAAAAGCGAATAAAAAAGGAATGAATTGCGTGGTAATTTCAAGGTATCGCGAGTGCAATGGACTGAATTATGTCGTTGAATGTATAATTCTTAGATATCAAGTCCCACGTGCGTTGCACGATTTCGTTTGAGATATTTCCTATTTTTTCTTCTTTTTTTTTGTGTGTATAATTAATAACAAAGGTTTAGCATGAAGTTTTAAGAAAGAACGTAGTTCTTCAAAATGATCTTTCATGGACAATATTTATGTTGGCAAACGAAGACAAGCGTATAATTGCTTTTTCGTAAGCACGTTCGCGGTCAAAAGAGTTTGTGAAACGCTGACCTACTGTACTCTTCGTCTTACGACATCACGAAAATTCCTTTCACTTGTTCGCGAATCGATTGTTCTCCGGTGAACCTTTTTTTCAACTCTAACGACGTCGTTGTCTCGAACAAATCGTGCCCAGATGCCGGCTTGTTATACTAATCAAAATGTTTCGATAATTTCTGCGAACCAAAGAAGTACGCGGAAGAAACGTCAATTTCAACTCCATGCTATGAAAACGATCTCTCAATCGCTCTACTCATTATAGTAATAAAAAAAAAAAAGAAAAATTTGCTAAATTGATATAATATCAAAAAGGAGCCAGGAAACTGTACAGAAGAAATTCCAATTTCAATTTCGGTTCTATCCCGAATGAAAATGGTCTTTCAATTGCTCTATTCGTTATAGAGTAATCAAAAAAAAAAAAAAAAAAA